CTAGAAAGTTTGATTTAAACTTGCTGCAAGTTGCCAAGTTTAAATTGCTATCTGGGTAGCTTCCTGTATTAGATCATACGGTCCATTATCACCCAATCGCGAATAAGCAATTAGTTATTGTCTTTTCGATCAGTTTTGTATTCGTATAAACTACAGATAACAAGGAGTTTTGTTTAAAATCACGTACTAGAGGTACAGTGTTTTTTTTTTGTTTTACTCCTAATACTACCAATAAATTTCAGTATTCCGGCTAAATTGACAGTTAATTAATTAGTTGACTGACCTTTATTCAGCTGAATTGTAGAACATTGCGTTCAGTTACTCGGTTGATCGAAAGTCGGCCCGTTAATTGAATGCCGCCTTTTAATTAAAGCGCTAGCCGCACACTTGGTCGGCTGATACCACTTGTCTGCGATACATACACAGAACTGTATTCGTTAGACGTCATGTCAGAAGTAGCGTTTATGTAGGACTTATTATATGATTTTTTTTATATATATTTCTTGTATACCTATAAAATAAAAATATTTAAAAAGTTGTATACACCCATATTATATTTGAACCGTGCGAAAATTTTGGTTGGGCTATACATACAGAAAAGAGTGATTATATATACGTCATGGGTTCATAAGGTTTGAGACGAAATAAAAGATGCGTAACTTTTCTAATAATCCTATTAATATGATAAATGTGAAAGCTTTTTTGTTTGGATGTTTGGCGGTCAATCACGCCGTAACTACTGATTGGATTTTGATGAAATTTGGTATACAAATAGGGCTGTATTAGCTGACTTAGATAATAGGATACTTTTTATCCGAAAGCTAATTAACTTATATTTCTGAAATTTTCAGTAACCATTAAATAGATAATAATCAACCATAAATAAATATTTTATTCAAAATGACCGCCCTTGTTGTTAATAACAAATTAAGGACTTGACCAGTCATCAAGGGGGGCACGAATCTTTTTTAGCTTCTTCGCTTTGCTTCACGAACAAGGGTTCGCTTCAGTGACTCCAAGTTTGGATGGGACTTTCAGCAGCTCTAATTCCGTCCATAAAGAATAATCTAGCGGTTTGTGGTCGGGGCTGAATGGCTGCCACTCGTACACCGCAATGAAGGCCGGCACACTCTCCCTCAACCAAGCTTGGGTGATTTTTATCTTGTGGGATGGCTCCGAGTCTTACTTTTTAAAACCCAATCCTTATTGTGAAACAACGTTTCAGATAGAGGTTTCACCACGGGCTCTAAAATGTCACTCTGATAATTCTTGGCCTTCAACTTGACACCTTGTTGGCAGAAATGGAGCGGAGTGACACCTTCATTCGAAACTCCCCACCATAGCCTCACACTAGCCGGATGATGAGTGCGCGAGACATGCCGTACAGAGCCTGGGACATCCTTGCTACGTTTAGCGCACTCTTTATTGTTTTGTCGGTTGAACATTTCTTAAACAGTAAAAATTTTCTCGTCGGTAAAGACTATCTTCCTAGCATCATGACTCCTCAGCAGCAGTGGACAACGTTCGCGTCGTAACTTACGAAGACGATCGCTAAAAATGTGAACTTTTCTACGGCCATATGCCTTTGCTTTAAGATCATATTTCGGTATTCTGTTCACTGAAACTTGCGAAATATTAGTCTGCAGAGCGAGTTTCGCTCTCGGATGAATTTGATGTTCGCAGGCGTCCTCACAGAGCGTGGCCGACCACTCCTTTGGCGATTATGCAGAGAACTTGTCTCTTAGTACCGCTGTATCATGTAATAGGCTAAGTTACGGCTTACAGGAAAACTTTTCAGCTAGCGAAAAATCTGCATCAGTTGTTTTCTCGCTCTAAAAAGCGTAATTACAGTAGCACGTAATTGTTGCGTTCCTTCCGTCACGAGAAAAAAAAAATTTGCGATACAAATAAACTAAAAGTTAACATTCCAAATCGGTAAAAAAAAATAACAGCCAGTAACATTTTATTTTATTTTTTCTGTAAAAAGTTTGTGTAAAAACTTTATCAACACACGAGATATATTTAATACTGACTATTTCCGAATAAATTGTATTACTATTAATTAATATCAATTAAAAAAGTGCGAAATGAATTATTATTTATGGTACATACATGTATTATAAATGTAGGGCACATGTATTCAGTTTGAATATTTTTTTAGTCCGTGTAAACGGAAACATGTAAATCTGCGGTTGCCAGGTGGCGGTGTTTTTTGTGGTTAGGGCTGGAAATGTGTTTCCAATCAATCACGCAGGAGCGGAGCGAAGCCCCAATTTTAGTTCCGATGGAGTTTAAAACCGTAAGTTATTTTTTTAAACTTTGAAAGAAAATAAAAATACAACTACGATTTCTCGCACAGACGATTCAACCTTCTTTTTATATGATCTCCATGGTTGAGTAGCTCGCACGCCGATTTCAAGGTTGTCGCCATCTCTGAGTCCCCGATTCCCGCAGGCACACCGCGTAACTATAGATCAAAACTCATACGAATTAACATGACAACATCATCCAACGGAAAATTTTAGGCGACCAATGGTTTAAACCATTACATGGTAACTTAAGTCCTCATTTTATAATACGACGGTTGGAAAATTATATAAACGTATATCGCATAAAGGTTCTTTTTAACAACGATTCTTTCCAAGAAACTTACTACTTATCTTCTTAATTACGTGTAAACTAGCCGTTTAGTTCAGAACTAAAATTTGTCACAATCCTAGATTTAAATAAAATAGGGTCACAGTTAAATTCCTTGAATTAAAAAAAAATTAAAAGAATAAATACTATCTATTAATAAAAATAGAGATATGGCTGCCAGTTAATTTCAAATAAAACCACGAAAACACACCGTCTCAGCCGTATATTAGTATTCTAACTGAAGTCTTACATTTGTTTTCGTAAATCTAAAAGTATGAATGATATTTATTTAAAGACTGAGAATTTAGAAAATAAACATGCCAAAAAGCATGTTTATTTCTAAATTCTCAGTCTCAGTTTGCGTAGCAGATCACCAACAACTATAGTTTATCATATATCCATTAGTATCTTATTAGTCGTCCTCATTCCCACTAGCTATCCGGTTAATGGTGACAATGAAATCTAAAAATTTTATTATTTTTTTAAATCTCGCAAAATCATTAATTATATGGTCGTATGAAATCTTGTTCATTAGTTCTGAATCTCTGCACAAAAGAGATAAAGTAAATCATAAATAGTTTTTTACTCGCTTCAAGCAAGAAAAGCTTCTCTCATATCATAGAGCAATGCGAAGAGCTATATCCAAATTTGTATAAACGTTCTCCATATTTTTTTTTCGCAAGATCAAAGAGTATTTTTTATGAATCATTTCTTGAGCCGCAACCCAAAAACGAAAACGCAAATGCATACGTATGTACCTAGTAGAAACAAAATATTTAAATGATGAAACATATCACACGTTAAAAATATTAATTATAGTTTAAAGTGGTGCCAATCAAATTTAAAAAATGGGTAAAGGTTACTAAATTTAAATTATAATATTGAAACGAAATTGGGATATTTTAAAAAATCATGGTAACTTAAGTACTTATATTTTACAGAGTATTCAGTAATCTTTCATTTACGTAAGATTGTCTGTATATTGTGCATTGTTTAATATTTAAATTTTGTTACTTGTTTCTTTATGTACATAATAATATTATTACGAAAGAGAAGATTAAAATATAAGAGAGCATTTTTTATTAAAGTAAAACTAAATTTTGTTTACTATTTACGTAACATCTGGCTTACAAACGGAAATAGTTTTTACGCACCCGTACCGCAAACTTACACCGATTTCCGTTATAAATAGGTCAACACATGTCACTGACATTCCCTAAGGGCATCTTAAGTAATTTTTATTCTAACGAGCGGCAGCATATGAAAAAAATAAACAATAAATAAAAATCAAAATAATCGGAAAATATTTTTTGAAACTACAAAAGCTCCGTGGATCGGCAATAGCAGTCTAGGACGCCTTCAGACTAGTTTAGAAGACGGTCTTCGCAGAGTAGGTAGCAGAAACTAGACGAAAATAGGCCAAGTCAAGTTCGACGGCGTACGCTTGGAGAGGCCTACGTCCAGCAGCCGACGAACATAGGCGGATGATGATGATGACAGGCGGTTAACAAAATTCAATAAACTTCGTTTGAATTCAAAGAAATCATTTAATTTTTTTGTGACAAAGACTTCCTCGACATATTTTATATGACGCAGTTCTTCTAATTTTTTACATAAAAAATACCGATTCGATTTATATAAAATTTTATTATTTCTCTATCCTCGAGATCTCCAGAATATCCCTTGCAAACACCCTTGATTAATTTTGCATTTTGAATTTTATATTTAAGTAAATAACAATTTAGAACTGGTTCCTTATGGTTTAACAGGGGGTTTTCATTGATACTGAAGTTTTTTCAACAGATGTAAAAAACCTTCAGTATCAATGAAAACTCACTGTTTTTTTTTTGGTGTCACTAAGTAATAAAGGAACTAACAACAGAACAAATGTATTTAATTGTTTCTTACATTCTCACTATGACTGTTCTTTTATAATAATCAAAGAATACTTACTTACTCTGCTCTATCTGAGATCTGCTTTAAGTCTTACTATTATAATAAAAATACTGACTTTCAGACTCCAAAGTTCAGAAAAAAAATATTTAAAGTTATAAATAATTTACAACATGCTCAATCACTATTCTGCTGGACATTAAATTAAAGGTGCTTAATTTAAGATCACATAATTATCAAGACGTATCTAGGAAGGAACTATACGCGCCAAATACAATTTTCCGTACCAAAACTCTTGCGCACCGGAAAGTACCTCGATTATTTCCCGCCATCCTGCATCTCGACCAACCGAAATTTGGCGCCTAAAATTTCCACGGCCAACCAGAACAATGGCCGCCTTTTTCCACCAATCAGCGACGAGCCCGCGTTCTCGCCATCGCGTCATTGTCATATCTTGAAATTAGTACGGCAGTGCAGTGAACCCCGACGGTAAATCGCTGATTTTCCTCGGTTAAAAACAAAATCCTGAGAGGTAAGTCCTTTATAACGACCTAATGTTACCTACTAGAAAAATCAAAGCGTTTGTTATCCAGTTTACGCAATTTTTCGGGCAGTAAACAGATTATTTCTTTATCTAAATAATATTATCATGAATCAATTCGTAAGCCAGAAGTTGAAAAAAGTTAGAAAGTGATACTGAAAAGATAACATTATGAATATTTTTTTGATTTCTAAAATGGTTTTTTAATCGGTGAAATAAAAACATTTAATAAATCTTATTCAACAGTATACAAAATAATACTCGGGCTCGTCTCGGCAAAATGGCGGCGTTGTTATGTCGCTATTAATATACTTGCTATCTCTTTCAACACTGACTTCAATGTTTAATATTAGAAAGAGACAGATACACTTCAAAATACGTAGCATGCTGCACACGTAACGAGACACGTCTTCGTTCATCGTATCGTAAACAAGTTGTGCTCGCCGGGGCTGCCACAACGTAGTGTATAGAGAAAATAAATTTCATACGTTATGCATAATAACATGTTTAAATATTTGTTGCGACTTTATTCAGAATAATACTGTTGTTTTGTCCAATAGTAATGTTAATAGTATTGATATATTTACATTTCACCAAGATAGTAGTATAAAGTAGGTATTAATTTATTTTGAATTGATGATTGGTTATTGACATACGATTTGCTTGAATTTGTTCGCAATTTGCTTGCAAAACAAAACTATATGAATACCAACATATAGTTTTGTTTTTGTACGTTTTGGAACTATTCATTTCAATAATTTAGTCTACTAAAAATATATGATGCAATATTTATCAATATGTTGAATTTCCTTAATCAATTAATTAATTGCTTAACATTTTTACTATAATTATTTAAAAAAAGTCATTGTTTAGTAATTAATATGACAATTAAATATAAACTTAAGAAATTGTAAAAATAAAAAAAATTAAAGTAACACATTAGTTAAAAAAAAAAACAACACAATTGCTACCTTCTGTAGCAATGCAATTTTTTTTTTATTCATTTATAATGTCGCCGTCGCTGCATCCTAATAAATAATTCGCCGCGACTCATTTAGCGCAAACCCTAGACACGTAACTCGAGCGCACATCACCCTAGCGACACATAGCGGCGGGAAGTGGAACTTTCCAATTATTGTTGCGCAAGTCTACCGCTGTGCGCCGCCGCGCTTTAGTCGATGAGAGTACGTCTTGTCGGTCGTACACGTTACTCGCGTCCTCGAACGCGCCGCGTCAATCGTCTTGTTTACCACTCACTTAAACTAATTTAACCAACAATAAGTATTCTTATTGGTACGTGATGAACCAAACTGTTTGAACATTTTTAAATCTATCGCGTTATTCCCTATACAGAAACTGAATTATTGACCTTGTTTGTGCTAGGTGAAGAGCGTCACGGATGCTATCTGTGAAGTGCGGCGCTCTGTTTGGTTGTGCTATTGGACTCTGAAGATGTCTACGTTGAGTGTGAGGGCACCTGGTTTACAAACCACTATGCTGCTGGACAGTCGGTCGGTGCGCGTGCGCGGAATGACCAACCTAGATGGCGTCAGGAAGAACTTGTTTGGATGTACGGACAGAGAGGAAAACAGAAGGTTTGCGGAAAGAGAACTCGCTAGGCAGTTGAAGCAAGACAGCGAGAAATGGGGCTTTGATTTTGCGAAAGAAGTGCCTTTACCTGGTGAGCAGCGGTTCGTGTGGAGTCTGGTGCCGGCAGCGGCAATCCCCGCGGCTCTGAGACGAGCACCGATCACCATTACAACACCCCAGCCAAGCACACCATCGCAAGAGGCGAAGGTTTCGAGTCCCGAGAGCAGCAGTAAAACACAGAAGAGAATTACAGGTAACGTAAAACAAACCAAAACTGCTTGCACACGTTTTTTTAATGATACCTACAAATAATTATAGATAATGATTTATCGTCTGAATTTCACCTTTACTGATAGTAGTTGATCTGTGTAATTAAATCGTAATAATGAGAAAAGTTTTTGATAAACAAACATGGCGTTATCTATGCAGAGTTGCATTGTGTTTGGTGATAACATACAATAAAATACATACATAACACCTTCTGGCGTCAACAAACTATCACTATTATTGATTTTTTTTTTTTGACGTTTGTGGCTCACTTTTATGTCCTAAAACATTATTTATTTATTATTTTGATCGAAAAACTCAATAAACTACCTATTTAATTCTTGCTATGTATTAACAGTTTATTGGTTTTTATTTGCTAAGCGAACTGATTATCTATTGTACAGTACATACAAATGTTTTTTCATGAATGACTGTCCGATGGATCAATGCACAGCATAAACCTATGATAGTAAACACCTGAAACTTGGAAGGTGTGTTCAATAACAAAGAATTTTCTAAATTCTAGATCAAAGTTAATATGGGACAACATGATTACCATGTTTGGTAATAAAAATACCATGAAGTCTACTAAACTCGTAGTGGCAACAAAATCTCAATAATTTATATTATTCAAATTTATTGATATTTATGGCTCGCTCTTATTTTCTAAGATATCACATGTACTCTTATGATGGTATTTCTAATGAAAAAAAAAACATTAAACTACTTACTTCTTACTACATATTAATGGTTTATTGTTTTTTTTTTATTTTCAATGCGAACTGATAATTATTGTCCAGAATGACATATGGATCAACACACAGCCTTAACTGCTGCCTGTAGGGATCTGAAACTCGGTGGGTGCGTTCTTTGTATGAGTAAGGCATTGGATAAGAAAGAATTTTCCAATATTTACTTCAAATGTTCCATTAACAGAATCAGTAGAATATGTATTTCATACTTTATTGAACTAAAAAGAGGTAAAAATTGTTTAAAGACTGATCTGCTGGCAAAGATTTTTTGGTCATAAACTAGTCAAATCATTAAATTTACATTAGGATTTAAATACAAAACTTTTAATCTGAATACATATAAAACACTATATAATTTTTAGAAATACATTTTATGGGGTGCTTAACCACTAATTATTGAGTTGCTTCATTGCTTTAGATTATTTTGTTTAAAAGAAATTTACCTTACAAAATAAATAAATATTAATAAACAAGCGAATTTGTCACGAAGTAAATATAACTAGTTTTATAGGTAATAAAAAAATATGACATAATCATTAGAAAAGTCACAAGAATATTTTATTTACTTGTCCTTTGACTACCAATTTATAATGTAATAGTATACTCATTTTGAGTAGGTATGGATAAATGTGTATCAGTAGGTGTCTGTCTAGTATATCACACTACAAAACATTTCAATAAATATGATGAAATAAAATAACTTTAACAAATCAAAACTGTAGTATTAGCAGTTGTACTAGTAAAGTTAATTGTCTATGGCAGTAGTTATAAATAGCATGTCTCTAAAAGCGGAATCAATAAAAAATCCAATCTATTCATAATTAATCTGGAAGAATTTAATACCCTTCTATTTGCGTCCCCTTTGCAAGATTAAAAAAATAACACCTTTTGATATTAGCAGCAAATTTTTTTGTCTATCAAGGTGCAAAGAAGTTCATAAAAGAAAGGAGGAAGTACAAATTAAATTATCGACGGTCTGTTATTAAAAATTAAGATTGAAGAAATCCTTTCTTCATTAATTTGTAATAATCCTTTTTTTTAGTGTTGAGACGTGGAGAATAATACTTAACTGCTTATTAAAACTTTATTAAGAAATAGAACGGCACGCGTATCAATAAAAAAATAGGAAACCGTAACAGTCCCTAATACTTTTATTATTATTAGAAAATATCATATTGCTTAGTTTCAACAATAACAGGATAGAGAAATGTAACGGTATCGCAATTCGTCATTTGTTTTTGTTTGTATGTAAGACGACGTATTATTAGCAGTTAAGTTTCCAGCACATTTGTTTCCAAGCCATAGACGTAAATAGGATTGTTTGGATTGTCTTGACCCAGATAGTTTGTTTTGATACACTGCGTCGCTGAATGTACTTACGGCACTCTACGAGGTATCATCCCACACGTCATGTCTTATTTTAGGTATTTAACACATGTACGAGTAACGTTACTAGGGGTAATGATGTTACATTACAAATTTCCGGATATCGATAGTTTTAGATGCAGTAATAATTGTACTCTTATGGTCGTACTTCACTTGTCTATTAGTAAGAAGCTTATAATCTATACGCTTTCATGGTTTGCGTTTTTGTCACATTTGACAAATACTGTCATATTTAGATAATAGAATACTTAACAAAACATCATATCATATCATCAGGCATAGACTACGCACGATGATCGGTCCTGCACTTCCCGCATCCAACGGCTTCACGTGATCTTTATTAGATCGTCGGTCCACATGGTTGGGGCTTACTCACTGAACATCGTCCGGTACATTCGATAACTACATAGTCTCATTCGAGAACTATAGTCAAGTAGATTTCTTTCTCAAAGTTGGACTTACCTAACTAGACTTTCTGGTACAACGGTCAACAACTTCGAGTATAGTATTCTCAATTTTAACTGGAGTAGATACAACATGGGTAATTGACATGATGTTTGTCTTTCAACTAAACATTGGTTAATTTTATTATTTACCTAAATAAATAGACCAAATAGAAGTCTAAATCTAAATAGAACCGTAGAAATCTAAATAGAACCAAAAAATTGCGAATAGATATAAAGTGCTACTAAAATATTCGAGAACTCATGTTTTCTTTATTATACTAGCCGCTTGAAAATATTATTCTGAGAAGAACTCACTACATTCTGTCGACTGAAAAATTGTTAAATAAAATTTAAGACTTACCATCGATATCGATTTATTGCAACTCCGGTTCTTTTTCTATTTATTGTTTATACACACTACAGACTGGTGTAACCACACTACTTACAATTTATTTACTAAGGACATTCGTTGCTTTAAACCGCCTAGTTATTGATACATATATCGTAACATATTGCATCTAGTATTATATAAGATAGTTTATTTTTAGTAATAAAATAATAAATTTACATTTCCTTTAAATGTAAATGACGACATTAGATGATTACCATACTTCTATTTCATGAGAATACTAAAATAATATATCTTAGCATTATTAGCGCCATCGCGTACTCTCAAATCAAAAATATACGGTCCAATAAAAATAAGTGTGCTCCTGGGTGAACATAACCATTTCTTTTTTTATTTTAAATCATTATTTTAATCAATTAGTAATATCTGGATAAACAATAAATTACCTGACGATTTATATCATAAATTAACGTTTGACAAACCGTTTTCGATATCGTTTTGTGTTTAATCAACAATTTAAAACAACTCCACGCCCTATTTGTTGAACGTTACCAAATTTTGTTTGCGTCAGCTAATTACCCGAAAGCCATCGTAAATGAACCATTGACTTTCACCAGATGCAACGAAAAACTTTGAAATCAAACTATTCGATTGGGGGTCACGAGTTTGATTGTTTGAGACTGACCAACCGTAGAAACTACCCAGGGGTCTAGGAAAGGGGGTCACGGAGTTTCTCGTTCTTATAAAAAGTAATTACACCTTTGCCGGTGTCATTGAACTCTGAATATTTAAAGATGTTGTGTCGTGTATGGGAATTGGAGTGGACGAGGCCGCGGGGTTCCTGATCTCGAGTATAGAAATTGTTGCAATTTTCAAACCCTATTTGTAAGTAATACTCGGTCAAGAGGTGATTTCCGTTAGATTGCAGTTGAATGATTCTAATGTTATGAGTTTCTTTCGTGAGAACGTAAGCACGAATGCATTTGAGTGACTGGAATTTAACCATTAGAGAGGGCTTTGAAATAACTTACTGTTTTAGATAAATTGGTCCCAAAAAACTTAACTATTAAATACATTACTGATAAAAAAAGTAACGGCTGTGACCAACAATGTGTATTTCTAAATATGTAAATAATGCAATGTGTGTCAGTTTATTTATTCTTTTAATGAACAAGATAATTTTTAAGCGTCTCGAACTTTTGTAATCCGTATGAAAGAATCATCGTGCATTTTTTACATTTTCTAATCGAGACTCATAGCTCAAAACCTCCCGAGCGCGTCGTTGAGTTACGTACAACAAGACAACTTAAAACGGAATCTCGGGATATGAAATAATAACACTGATATCACAAAACTATACACGATTACATTATTTAGTAATTTCAATTGTAACTACAATGACGTCATTATACTTCGACCCGTGAGGTAGGTTATTTAGCAACAGCTGACTTATTAAATCAAATTTCCACCCTTATACATCGAAATGAATCTCATTGTGCGCGGAGACATTACTACAATGGCGGAAATCATAATGAAGCGACCGTCAAGCGGCGCGTGCGCAGCGCACACCCCTCTGCTTTCTCCCTCGCATATTGTAACGGCTATATTGATTTTTTAACTGTCGCTTTCTCTGTTTACTGTTTGAAAGAAATATTTACTCATACGCCTAAGCGAATTTCCAAAGATGCCTTCAGTAATTCATTACATCACAATAAGAAATGTCTTGTCATATATATATATATATATATATATTCTCACAAGCTTTGCGAATGCTAATGCTTATATTTAAAAATATGCGAATGCGAATATTCGTATGTGACACTAATATGTTGTATTAATAAAAAAAAAGCAAATAAAAACTTTTATCAGACTCTTGTCAGAGGAAAACAAAATTAGAAACAAAAGAATGTTATTAAAGAAATAAAGTTAAAGATATAAAGTTTCCATCTTTGTTGGTTTATCCCCTACAAACAATCTTCGGAAATACTGAACCGATCATGAAAATTCTTTCACGTACAGGAAGCTACGTCATGCGCGGGTCACATCAATTTAT